TTTTTTTTTAATATTTATACTTCTTTCTTTTGATTTATTATTATTTTTAACAATAGCTGTTATAAAAGATGAAGAATCTTCAAAGTGCATTGGTTCAAAAGTAAAGGCAGCAGTTTGGCGTATATTCAGATGCGAATGATTATTTCTGTTAAAAAGAAATACCACACCAGCAGATATTATAAGTTGAAAACAAAGTAAAGAAGTTCGCGATTGTTTTTGTTCGCTTTTTGAAATGAATCATAATGATGTTTTTTGGATAACTATAATTGTGAGGTCAGTCTTCTCTGAGGTTGCTATACCTATACTCTTTAATGAGCACTGCGCCTTTACACTTGCGATCTGTGATCTTTTATTAAATCTCCAGTCCAAAAGCATCACGTATACTGAAAAATGTCTTATACATCGTATCGAAAGATATCTTGTAAGTAATATTATTATTATTTATTTTTTTTTTTTAACCTTCGCAATATCATGTGAAGGTAGATTTTTATTAGGTATTTTAGATAGTACATTATTGGTTAATGAGAATACATTCTAGCTATATCTGCGCCTTTTGAGCAGCTAATTAAGTAGCTACCTATTATTAGTGTCTATACTAGATGCTGTACCTGTAACTCACTATTATTTGAATTATCTATTTAAACTCTCTGATGTCTAATATTATTAATTATTATTAATTATAATGAATTATTATTTTTTAATTATTGTTAATATAATATAAAACGATTTTGGTAATGGTAGTTTATCGTATAATTTAGCTGAATTGATACTAGATAATGAAAATATGTGTCATAGTAGTAGTTCACAACAAGCGTCACCTCAGTATGAAACTGAACCTGAAGCAGAACCCTTACAAGATGATTCATTCTCATCTCAGCGTCAAATAGAACTTTCACAGGAGAATGCTGATAAATTATTTGGTTGCAATTAATGTTTTTTGCTTCAAATATATTTTTTTTGAATTAGTTACATTTGTTAGTGATTTATTATATATTAAATTTATAATCTGTAATAAAATTATGTATTTGTGCTGTATATAATATGATAATATATATGCTTCAATATGATTATATATTGCTTATACTGATATATAGTGTTTATAAAAATTACGTATTATAAAAATTTCATTTTGCACTATAGTATTTTTAGTATCATTAAAAAAAAACTTACTTGTTTAAACCTGTTATATATCGATCAATATCCATATCGATTTATATCGATTGCTTCAAACTGGTTATATATCATTATATACCATAATCAATATAACCTAGCAGAGGTGATTATTATCGATATATCTAGTGGGTTATTAATCGATATATATCTCTATATAAAATTTCTTAATGTTAAATCGGCAGTACATAGAATGTTTGCTTCTATCTGGTCTGCAAGACAGCATCCTATTTACCAAGCAATTGAAGTAGCCGATAAAGAACAATTAATGCGTCTTCATCCTGAGATTCGTTAAATTATCGAATGTAATTCTGTTATAGCACAATCAAGAAGAGCAAACTAACATTAGGGATTAAATGCTATATTTGAAGAGGTAAATAAGATATTAAACATGCTGATCACACCTATACCAGCTCAAAAGCATTAGGAAATAGCTGCAAGAAATTGTACAAAATTTATGAAGATAAGAATAAATATAAGAATAAATATAATTTGATATACTTAATATTTTTTTTCCTAGAGTGTGACAACTTAGTGAAGTTGGTAAGTTGTCACATCCCCAAGTAGCAGGACAAGAGTTCGAATCCCACTGGCGATAAAATTTGAATTTTAAGAATGCATTACGGTATACTATACACAACCATATGGATCGATGGATCTGTAGTCTTGATCATACCAGCTCGTACTGGGAGGCTGTGTAACATTAGTGTGATAAATGAGTTACACAAATCCTGAGTGAAATAGCTGAATAAATCTAGGGCCGTGGAGTACACAGAAGCCCACTTGGCAAAACTTGAGTAGAGAGGTAGCACAGACTTTTGATAGTACTATGTAAAAGAAGATCATCCAGAAAAAGGGAAAAACTGAACGGAACTAAGATGTTTGGCAAGCATTACATCAACCAGGCTATCGGGTCAGCCAGAAGAAGGGTCTGCCCTTCTGGCCTATCTGAATTAGAAATTTGGAGAAAACTAGAAGTATGGTTGGTAGTCTATATAGTGGGTGCTGGGATTTGGATAAACTATACAAGGGGAAGTAAATAACAGTAGTGGCCTCGGCTTGCAAATACTTATCCTTGGACTTGGCATAAGTTACTAAATCTAGGTTAGCCAGATTGTGGGTATGAAAAACTCTAACAACGATATCTTGAGAAAAAAGTAGTTCTAAGAGAATGGGTAAAGAATCTGAGACTTCTCGACTGATATATGTAGCAGAGATGTAATAGTAATACAGGTACAAATTGCATTACAGAGAGTTTAATTAGGTAATTCAAGTAATAGTAGGTTACAAGTACGGCATCTAGTGTAGGACTTAGTAATAGAGAACTATTTAATTAGATGCTCAAAAGGTGTAGATATGGCTAGAATGTACTCTCTAATGTAAAGAGATTTCTTTGAGGTTTAGACTGCAAGCCCTTGACTTAATACTTAAATAAAAACTTTAGCCCCAAAGAGGTTAGTTGTAAAAGG